GTACCATTTTTAAAAAAATAGGTTTTTTTTCCATTTTATTGGTTTAACTGTATATTTTTCAATAGGTACAAAAACCTTCCCAATTCAATAGGAGGCCTCACTCTAGTACACAGTTGTATTCAAGTCACCTTCTACTCAAAGTTAATTTTTAGAAAATTAATAACATGCAAACATTGCTCTGCTCCAGCTCATTTGAATTTCTTTCACGGTTTCTGTCTTGTTTGGCTCAGTGTGGAGCAGCATTATAGGCTGAAATCAACACTGCAGATTGCTCCAGGTTAGCCTGAGGTGTTTGAAATGTCTGATGCAGTATTTTTTTTTTCCATAGTTACAGGCTTGACTTACTGAGATTCCATCTAACACTAGGTCCTTGAGAGTTCCAGGGCTGCGAATCTGTTTGGTAACAATTTCTTTATCACCGTCATAGGGGACCTTGTACCTTGTAAAACTTTCGTACAGAAAATAGCATTTTTGGGTTAGTTTTTCTGAAGAGAGGCTGGTAACACTTTAAATAACATTTAAATAACAGATTAATGTTAAGGGCACCTGAAAGTATTATCCAGTTTCCAACACAATAGAGGTTGCTAACTCGCGGGTACATTCAATCCATCACTGTTTAAAGAGCAAGAGCAATGCTCATGCTACAATTTTTGAAAATTCTGAGAAAGCTTTGTATTAAAAGCAGAGTAATGTATTTGGTAATTATCTTTTAAAAACACCGTTGTCTCCCATAATAGAGTGGCACCCTGCTGTCAGTTGTGCCCAAACAAAACTGCCGGTGGTTGTACATCAGCTGGATTTTTTAATCCCACAGAGGAGTCAAAAAGTCAAAAGCGAATTGGGATTTTGCTTAGTGTGTTTATGCCCAAGGTTGGCTTGTGGTGTAAGAATAAAGATGACATATCTGGAAGTGATTAAAAATGCTAGTGTGGAAACCCACCTTGTGCATGTCCGCTACTATGTGTGCTAGGAATTGCAGCAACAATAGAGGCTATTTATGCTTCCCCCCCCCCCCCCCTTCTTCTTTTTTTCCATTATCACCTCCCTTAGAAACCAACTTAGAAAATAAA